TGGACATACTACACCACTTCTTTTAAATTGCTTCAAGTTACTGGATCCTGAAGAAACGCTCTCTCATCTGGTATGTACAGCAAAATGACAGTAAGCTTGATTTAATTTGATTTCTTAGCTACGCAATAAATTGTGAATTTGATGTGTTTGTACTAGGGTGTTGCGGCACAAATCGTGACTAGCGAGTGACGAGTAGTTTCCGAAATGTTACTTTGTCAAGGTACTCCCTATATAGTGCACTATATAATGATCCCTATATAGTGAATAGGGAGTACGGAGTAAGTGGATGATTTCGGACACAGCCCAGGATTCTTTGTGTGTGGCAGCAGTGGAAGCCCTGTGTAGTGTCTCAAGACATTCAGCGCGTGAACTGTGCGTAACGCGTCTGTCCTCCATCTTGTTTGTTTTGGGATCGTTTTGGGGTGCAAAACATGGCAAAATGTACAGAAAAAAGAAATTACACAACAGAGGAAGTCGTGGAGGCTGCACAAGTCGAGACAGCAGCTGCCCTGATGCTTTCTTCAAACAGAGACTGTTATAACAAGCGGCTCATAGAAAACAAGTGAGTGTCATAGTGCTAAGAATATGTGTACAGTTTGAGTTATGCAGTAAATATACAGTTTGCAGTGTTTGCTGTTAGTGTGAATTGTAAATATATATTTATACTTGCCCACAACACTTGTTTTGATATAGTCATATCTTTTTATGAAAAATATATAGATTATTTGTTTTTATGATGAAATACAAATTTCTATAACTAATAGTGTGACTCTGCGTCCAGATATGGATTCCTCTGGGTATAAGTCTTCAACAGAGCCCTCATTGATGTATGTAGGTTCAAGCATTCAAAAGATATTGCATGTTTTCCATACATTTTCAGTGGTGTCCAATTTGGACAGATGTGGATAAAACAAAAGTCCCTCAATAAAACGCATGGACATACCAGAATAAAAACTGGTGTCAAATTACCAGTTTTACAGATATTGTTTTCAAATGTAAAATATGAGTGCAATACAAGTTTTTCTATTAGCACACAGTGTGTTTTAGTTTCCATCGCCTAATGCAGCTTTATGCTTCTTTATTTTCAAGAAAGAGCTAAGGTGAGGATCAAAAATATATTTTTTTCTGTGATTATTGAAATGGAATAACTTTTTACTGGTAGCACCTAGAATGATTCTGATTGCTGTGGCTAAAACTCGAGAGTTTTATCTTTACAAAAAGGTCAAACTTTATAGATAATCCATAAGGGTCAATAACAGCATTCATTTTAATTTGGAGATGTCATTTTGGTTGCATTGAAATGACCTAGAATGATAAGGGGTTAAGTTACCAGTAATTTTGATAACAAGTCAGCTAGAGTAACATTAACATCAACGAAATGCCGTTAATTTGCTGTTTAAATGCTCTGAGCCATAACATCAACCACATCATCTTTGCAGCATTAGTATTATTTCCACATTCTCACAAAAAAAGCACATAAACACACCAAAATTCAGAGGAATGACTTGCCAACTCTGTAAATGAGACCATACGAGGAGCATGTGAATGCACAATAAAACAAGCCCAAAGACCCTGGATGAATCTTCCTGGATTATTATGGGATCTTTCCCCTCGTACCTCCCAGCAGACAAACAGAGGGATGGGAGAGCAAACAGCAAAACGGGAGCTTTGGCTGCCCTCTAGATCTGGGCCAAGCTTAGAGAGGCTTCCACACCTGTCTGTCTGGCTGGCATACGAGAGCTCTGGTGCAGCAAACTCATCAAAGTTAAATGCAGATGACACAGGAACAACATTTGGAGTTCCTGTTCTGCAACCCATGAAACCAAAAGCATTTCTGTGCATCTTTGACTCAACATAACCACAAGGTAACAGCTCAACCACAAAAACCAAACCTGATAGGAATAGCAAATTTTCCTCCTGCTGGCTATTATAGCCCTCACTGTGGCTTTGGATATTTGTACAGCAATATGTCATCCCTCATTAATTGAGTGAGCATTGACTTCTTTTATTTGTTTTCCACTGGGATTCAACCTCACTAATATCGGTCACTTACTCCACAATATATTACCTTGTGAGAGATTTATAGGTCTGTTACCAGAGAGCAGCAGATGAAAAGGGTAGGTCATCCTTTTTCCACGGAATATGTCAAAACCAGTGTTCTCATCATAATATGAATATGGAAAAGATGCATCAGTACACAAAAAGGTGCCTCTTAGTGTGACTTCAAGGTTTCAAGATCTAGTCTACAAGCTATTTTTTTCAAATACATTTGTATGGCAAGATTACTGTAAGATCATTGTAGGTTTCAAACATAAAGGTTTGCGAAAATCTGTATCAAACAAGCATGAAAAAGTCTTAATCCTTAGTTAACAGCGACCAGTGCCATTAGCTGAGGACCCCGCTGTGCATTAGGACATGTTCAGAGCTGCACAGAGTCACACAGCATGAGTCATACGACACACAGTGTCACTTCACTAGACCTCAGTGGAAAGCAGGACATCCACAAGGCAAACAGTGATGAACGTGCTATTCTAGGAATGAAGATGAAAAAGGAGCTGGAAAATGTGCTTCTGCTCCCGCAATTTGAAAGTTTTCCATAACTTCCTCTGCTTTTATTTTTTTTTCTACTTTTTTTTTTTTTTCCTCAATGGGTCATTTTGAAACAAGTGATGAAAGCAAATGAGAACAGATGACTGAACAAGAGGTCTTCATGAATCATTCAGAGGGGGATGAAGAGGCATATGGTTTGCAGAGAACGCATTCAAGACTGGATGTAACGCAGGGGCTCTTAAATCTATCTGTGCCCCAAGAGAATACCCACAGAAAATGAGCTGTCTATCTGTGCTACTGCCACAGCTGGCTGTGAAACACATCACATCAGTTTAAACCCGAGTTTAAATAACAGTCTTTGTTTTGTTTGCCACGGGTCATTTTAAAGACTGACATTCGTCCAAGTACACAGAGGGAGAATTTACTAATGTAAACAGGTGGATCCAGTTTTAAATCAGATCTTCACTGTAAACACAGTCACTGTCATCTTCCTTGCGTTGATTTGACAAATTACCTTGTTTCAGTGTCTTTCACTGAACAATATTTGTAAAAAAAAAAAAAGGAGCTCAGCCTGACCTGTGTCTGCTGATCTAGCTCCATATTGTACAAATCGTTTCAGACGGATTGTTTGGCTTCTTCCCTTTTCTTCCTTTCATTTATCTTGATTCTAATTTGTAGTTTCACTCAGGCCACACATGATATCCAGATTTTTGGGGCTACTTTTGAAACAAGAAGGACCACCCAGAAGTGTTTCAGGCCTCTTTCTACCGTAGCTCAATAAGTGCCGGCTCCACGCAAATCGCTCCAATCGAGCACAAAAGATGCATTAAAAACTAATCGGATGGCGATGACACACGGTAGTCGTGCAAGGCCTTATTTGCAAAGCAGATGGAAAGCCTTGGCCTGTCCAACATTAATTACAATCACATTCGGGGAGGAAGCAGTCCCTCCTCCAGGGCGGTTAGGACTTTGTGTACGGCTGGAGGAGATGGCAACCTAATCCCCTGGTCACCACAGAAATCTGAGGGAATCGTCAAAAGATGCACAGGACGTGATTGATCAAAGTGGAGAGCCAGATGTGCAACAACACAGGAGTGCAAACCCAAACTTACACAGCAGAGGAACACCGAAACCACAGACACACAAACACCATGCCGCCACCATCACGCTCCCCCACAGAAGCCAACAGAGGGGCTTCGATATTTGAGACCCAAATGACAGCCTCCTTCTGTCTGAATATCTGGTTTTCATCACTACATGTTGCAATACCAATACTCAGAGGACCAATAAGGAGAGAAGCATTTTCTAACTCAGCCAACCTAATTCTCCTCTTCATTTGTGGTACTGAGTGACTGTTAAACGGTTTATAAAGGTGAAGGGTAGAACTATTTAAAGGGATCTCTTCTTGCAGGAGACGTTGAAGTCAGAAAAAAAAAACAAAAAAAAACAAAAAAAAAAAGAGGAGACTGCATTCTTCAGCAGTGATACATTCCCATTGCTCTCATGGTCAGATTATGACAATAGCCTCAGTTCCCAAGAAGACTGACAATCAATCTGGATTTAAACCTTCTTATCCACCAGCGTCTGACTCTGGCAGCGCCTCTGTTTATCTTTAGGCGCTCTGTTTAGAGTCTCCCAGTAAACACTGGAGCTGCTAATGGAAGGAAGGGCTTTGAGCTTTTATGTTCCAAACTCGTTATGATTAAAGTGTCCCTCTTTATCATCACTGGAGCTAATTAGAGGCAAATCTGCTTGGGAAACACAAACAATGCGACGCAATTTACGCACAGAAACCGCAACTCGCTGCATTGGAGGTCAACGGCAGGAATAGCCCTTTATATACAAATGCCAGCGGTGGTGGTAGATGATTTTCTGAGGATACTAGGTTTATGTTCCCCGCAAAGGCATAAATCACGAAGCAGATTGCACAGCAGGACTGACCACAGAATTTCGGTCCTATAAATGAGCCGAGGAGGGCGAATGTACCCGGAGAGAGGACGTGTAACAATAAATTACTGCGAAACAATACAAACCTCATCAGTTTTTCAAACCACATTGGAGATGGATGACTTCTTTGCCCTGAATGTGGTTCACACAATGGGACAGTTCATGATTCACAATGTGCGTAATGGTGCGTCCGCTTACGATCAGCGAGGATAGCAATGCAGCTACAGGTGTACAGACCCAATGTAAAAACAGGACTGTTTCTTTTGATAAGACAAACGAGGAAATGAGTGGGGGGAATAATTTTTTTTTTAAATTATACATATATATATGTGCCATTTTGTTATATATGTCCAGGTCATTCCATTTCACCCTATCCTTGCTTGCAACACCTGTTCCCACCGAATCCCGTCTCATTTTCAACAACTCTACAAAAAACACCTTATACAAGTCACAATTACGCACAAAAATAACAAGCAAAATATAAATATTTCCATGTAACTCACCTAAATTAACGAAGCTCATCACCATATCTGCATCGTTTAGAAAGGCAGTTTCTTGATATGTTGCCAGAGGCGGACTCTGGGTCGTCCGCATTGACTGATAGCGGTCCAGCATCCCTTCCACTTGGCTTTTCTCTTCGCTAGATATAGTGTTGTATAAGTCCAACATAAAAAGTGGAGCGGAGTTGTACTTTCCGTGCGACAGATGCGGTCTCGGTCTGTGCGGCAGCCCCAGGATGGACAGGATCTCCTTCTGCATTTCCCTCTTCTCGTGCGTCCGCAGCCGCCGGTGGATGAACCCAGGGTGCATTTCGTTGTTTCCATCCAGTGAATAGTTACTCCCCGCGACCGTCAACGTGCAGTAATAAGCGCTCCACCACAATCCGACCAGGGCAAGCCAGCAGCCGGTCATGTTGTTGTCCCGCTGTGCTCTCTCCGGAGTCCCAAGTGTGCCTGGCTTGGAGCTTCAGTCGCCTGTATAAACGAACGCAAAACGCGCGTAATGGTAACCAAAGTCCGTCCGAGCGCGCTGTTTTCTGTTGAACCGGGGATCAAAAGCAAAAAAAGAGTCGTGTGTCAAGCCATTTGAAATACTCCCTAAAACAAAATGCGCATAATAGTGTCGGTCCTGCTTTCATTTCTGATTCCCGTAGCGCGCTTTGCTGCTTCCAGATAAAGTGCAGCATGTGAAACTTTATTCTAAGCGCTCCGGTAAGTCGGTCAAAAAAAGACACCGTTTGATGCGATATCCACTAGCGAAAGAACAACAATTCCACTGACAGAAGTCATTTTAACTTAAGTGGATATTTTTACTCTCCAAGATATGCGACTTTCCAAAGCTGCGCACTGACAAAAGCCGTCCTTCAGCTGCTCTCAGTGACGGTCCCCTGCTCCTACAGGCTCTGTGTGAGAGTCTAACAGGAATCAGCAGGTTGCAGTCCATAATATGCGTGCGTGCGCGCGTACGTGTGGACGTTTGCGAGTGTGTTTGTCTTCAGAAACCGCCCACTCCGTGCGCACTCAGCCAGAGGTGGAGCTCTTTAGGCTAGAAGGACAAGTCTAACATCATATTTCCATATTTTGTTCGCTGCGGAATAACTGCCTGTCTGTTTCAATAAACTCGTCAACTTAAGTCTTCTGTGTGTTTGTGTTACACCTAATATGCTTGGATTCGTTTACAATGTGTGTCACACGACTTCATCTAAACCTATTTCTTCATAAATGTTAGAAAAAGCAAAGTTGTATCAGGTCCATAAATACACTGACCAACTGCAACTTCGATCCTTAAATGAGTGTTCCATGTCTTCTGAGAGTCGGTACTGGCATGAAGCATGGATCACATATTTACGCATCCAGAATTAAGATGTATGTCCGCTCCCTCAAAGCTGAGCGAATGACCAGTTCAGGCACGACCCCTGACGATGGAGTGAGAAACAGCAAGTACGCACCAAAGGCGGCGCAGAAGGTGAAAGCTGACACTGGCTACATGATGGGGCTTCATCTTGCTGTTATTGCCGCAGACAAAATTGCGCAATCGGTGTTTTGTCTGAGATGAACACTTGGAAAATAGAGACCGTAGGTGTTTGGACAGTTGCGCTTTTTTTTTTGTTCTTCCGGATCTGTATTTTTCACATTCAGTTTGACATGTAACAGTGGCATGTGACATTTAAGTGTCAAGTCTCAGCTTCAGTTTGAGTGGGTTTAGATATTTTAAACACAGAGCCTTTAAAGTTTAGTAAAGTTAAAGGACCAGTACATGTGAAGTAAAATAAAACAATATTTAAAACTTTACATAAAAAATGCAGCCAATGACAGCATGAAGTCTTTAACCCACAGACATCAGCTTTTCTTGCAAATGTTCACACAAGCATTCACAGCTGCCACCTTCAGCTCTTGTTTGTCTCTATTTTGGTCGGCAGCAATTGGAATACAGCTCAGTCAGATTCGGGTGATTGAAAAGATCAGTCAAGGATTCTGCAAATCTTTAAACCCTTTAAAGGCTCCTTAGCTACTTTCCTGTAAATTCTAATGCATTTATTTGAATGTGAGCACACAGAATGCTCTGCTGCATCTGTTTGTTCATCCTGTGACTTTTGTCAGCAGTGAAATCGTCAATAATTGTCAGTGAGCCTGTTCCACTGGCAGCTGTGCATGTTCAAGACCTAACAGAAGCAGCACCATGTTGGAGCGATGATGTGGTGCTTTGGGTCATGAACTCTTTCCATGGTTTTAGTGTATTTTATCCTTTTGCACATTTCTAGTTGTTTACACTACATAGTATGTAGCCTTGCACATTCCGCACGCTGGAAGTATTTCTATGACTTTTATAATTCCTCAGATTTGCTGCACTTGTGATTGATTTGACTTGTGACACTTGAATTGTTTTAACCCTTTTATCCTTCTTTTAAAAATGTCAGTGTTTACTGTTTTGCACCAAAGAGTCAAATTCCTCATATGCAAAAACCTACTGGGCAATAAAACTGATTGTGATTGTGACATCCATCTTAACATCTTTTTTTTCCCCCCACTTACATGGTCACCTTTTTGCTCCTCATATTTACCAGCAACTCCACCTCAGTCCAAATCAAATCAAATCAAATGGCAACTCTCGCGCCACTCTGAGCCACATGTGAGCTCTTTAGTAACAGTCCAAATACTTTAAAACACTTGCCATTTAAACCCACCCAAGCTGAGGCTGGGCGCTTTAATGTAATATTCACTGTTGTATTTCTGAACTGAATACGCTGAAGCAGAGCCGGAGGAATTGAAAATGTGCAACTGTCAAAATTAAGAGGCTGGAGTGTACATACAGTACATCCATGCTAGACTACAGGTCTGTGGATATTTAAAAGTATGATACAGAGTTCTGTATGAGCACAGCTAAGCCTCCGCGTGAGCAGAAACAAAATTCTTTAAAATCTCTATTTTCTGTCTTTTTCTCTCATCACTCCTCTGAACCTAACCTGTGTTATGTCTTCGTGGTCCCCTCAGACTGCGATGGTTCTGATGATAAGGCCCAAAGGTGTCCATATCTCTCTGCGTCTCTGCTACTGCTGCTGCCAGAGCCTATCTTATCTGCATGTGAAGAGTGAGAACCAGCATCAAAGCTGCACATACCACCACCACGCACACCCCCACATACAAACATCTACCGCTGGATAGCTTCCAGACTAAATACGACAGCACTCATGTCACTCCCCTACAGCTCAATGTCAAATTAGGGCAGTGCTGGTGATTCTGCATGTCATTGCCTATTTGCAAAAACTTATATCCAGTTGGATTTAATATTACATGTAACCATTTTCTGTGTTGAATCATCGCAGAGATTTTTAGATTGAGATAATATTCTGCGTACCTATAAGTGTTTGAAAGACTGAGTGATCTACCTCTGAAATAACAGAACCTCAGCCAAAGACTCTCATGGATGTCATTTATCAGCTTTCACAGCTTTTCTTGGGTCCAGTTTCCATTTTTTTAAGAATGGCTGCTTATTCTAGATTCATAGCATTCTGTGGTTAGATGAGTTAAGCAAAAAAGATTCCCTGGAAATTATTTTATGAATGGTGAGATTTTTCGAGATGCTTCTTTGGCATTCACGCTAAACATAGAAACAGGGAAATTGTTGCTTTCTGGGTAAAACTATGGAAGGAAATGGGTCATTTTTACCACCTTGTATGAGTCAGCTCGTGGTAACAAACAGCACGGAATCCATGTTTTAAACACTTCATGGGCCATTAATCACAGGCATGTGTCACATTAAACAAACATTACCCAGCTCGCAAGAAGCCATTCACAGCTTTTGTGGTGCTCTCCAGCGCTATCGCAGCAATGCAGTGATAAACACACTGCATGGGCTGACAATAATTTTAAAAAAGCCCTTAAATACTGCTATACTGACTTGACATTGATCAAATGTGTAAATACGTGTGTGTGTGTGTGTGTGTGTGTGTGTGTGTGTGCATTTCCCCTGAGGCAGAGCAGGTGATGTGTGTGTGCACGCTGAGTGAATTGGAAGCAGAGGGAGGAGGAAACATTAAACAGAAGTTCTGTGTCCTGTCATCACACTGTCTAGACAGGACACCTCCTAGACCTAATGAGGTCTTTGTATCTATTTTACACACACACACACACACACACGCACGCACGCACGCACGCACACACACACACACACACACACACCACTGTAATTCTTAGTTTTAGTTCTTCCTGTGGGACATTTTTATTCGAGAACAGTTAAAGGTCACAGAGAAGTTCATACACACAGAAATTGGTATTATGTGTGCTTTTTTGCTCAATAATATTACACACACACACACACATCTCCAACGTGCAAAATTAAAGGGAAGTACGCTCCAAAGCAAGAGGAATGCTTCCACCTGGCTCAGATCTGACAAGAAAAGCTGAACTTTCTGCAATAATTACATTGCTATGGTTACTAAGTCATGCACGTACATGTATGAAGGCCGATCATATCCCAGTTTTCGAGTGTTTTCCACTCTCAGTCAAAGGAACAATGACAAACTGCTGCAGTCTACTATAGCTGTGCTTCACCCAGCAGATAAAGATATTTTTGTGAGTCTCCTGACCAACATTTGCTTTGAAAAATACTTCAAAAAATGAAGGCACAAGACCAATTCTTTCCTACAGTATTTATGATAACTTATGATGTTTTTAGTCAGTGTTGGGCATGCTACTTGGAAAGTGCACTGAGCTAAGCAAGTAATTATTACAGGTTAAAAAATAACTGGCTGCATGACAGTTTAAATGGAAGCTGGCGATCCAAAGCTACAAACTGATGTACTAATAATCAAAGTTGAGCTGGCCTCAACTGTTTAAAGTGCTCCAATAGCTTGGTGAAGTGGCAACCCATCTAATGTCTTTGTTTCACCATTTCCACTTCCTTTCTTTACTAACCACAATGCCCTGATCCATTCTGAAAAATGGAAAAAAATACGTACTATTGCCATTAACCAATTCCAAGTAATATTTAACTATACCCTTTGTTTAACCACAACTTTAACAACATCAACGAGAGCTTGAGCAACACTTGAGCAGCGACTTGGCAACAATGTGGTTGGTTACATTTGGCCGTTTCGTAACTATGTCACTTGTGTGAACATAACGTTACTCTACGTTAAATGAAGTTTCTCCAAATTGAGGCTACAACCCAGAGAAATGTAGCAAGATGAGAAGAAGAAGCTACTCTATTTTTTAAGTTTACAATAAAGAATTCCCTACAAGCACTGAAATACAAGGAGCTTGCTAGTAGTTAAGTAACACAATCTGCTAGCTGTTTTGGATGTCGTGATCATATAAAAGTGCTTCTGTTGACTTTGCATCTATGCTTGCGTATGTAGACAGCATTATGTACTGATCCTTGTTTAGATTTTAGTTATATTTTGGACAACACTGTAATCGCTGCTGCACTTATCACTTTAAAGGTGTTTGAAAATAAAGCTTGCGTGGATGCTACTGCACTACTTAATAATATAATAAAAGAGCAAGGTACCATTTTGCTACTAAGCCCCATGTCAAATATTGTTGCCATGTGGAGTTAACAACTGTAAATGAGCATTTTGCTGACATTTTGTTGTACAAAAGTAATATTTCTCTTAATTTGTGTATAATTTTTAATCCAACTTGCTGTCAGTGAGCATTACTCAGTTAGTTGTTTTTTTTTACTCAGTGCATGGGTGGAGCATGTCCAGTGGGTGATCAGACAAAATGAGCAACAGCAGGACAATCCTTGGACTGGGGACAAGTAAAGGCCACCCCAAAATGTCAAATTTTGTCACAAGTCATAATGCCTCAGATGTCGCAAGTTATGCGGGAGCATGTCATTGGCATGTTGGATGCAGGGATGTCCACCAGAGCAGTAGCTGCACGGCTCAATGTCCATTATCGGACCA